AAAATAAAAAAAAAAAAAAAAAAAAAATGTCAGTAATTTCTCCTGAATATAGTAAAAAATAAAACCCCCAGTGGTGATTAAATACCACCAAACGAAAGCTCTATCTGTCCCCAAAAAAATTGTATAAAATTTGTTTCAGTACAGCATTGTATGACGGAATAAATGTCAAAGTACTGCAGCGCTGAACACTGAAAAATGGCCTGGCCAGGAAGGGGGTCTAAACACCTGGTCTTCAAGCGGTTAAACACCCATTAATGGCCCATTCACACCACATCATGTCCAGAGCACAGCGTTTCCAGGCCAAAAATGCCTCCTATACGATTTCTGGCCTCTGTTCACACCAGCGCAATCTGTTCCAGACCAGAAAAATACTGCATGTTTCATTTTGTCTGGTCTGGAATGCACTGAAAAAAGAAAAATGCATGCTAACACGCTCGAATGCACCCGAAAGGATATTTTAGGCTACAAAGGAAAAAAAAAGGTTCCGGAAAGTGGCACAATCGCGGTAAAAACGTGGCAAACGCAATGCACCTTTCAGATCAGGCCCGGAAAATGTTATGAACCTGCCCTAAATCACAAATACATACCAATGTATATTTGTTCCACGCAAGTCTATCTTGTTCCCATGAGAACAGCCTAAACTCTGCTACTTTTTGGGTTTTATCTTAAAATCTTAGAAATTTGCTACGTCTTGAGAGACTTGGCCTCATGAATAAATGTTGTAACGACAGGATAGTGATCTCCTACACAGTGTGGGAAAATGAACAAAATCCTACAAACCGGGCACTACATCATACAATTAAAGAGACAAATCCTTCCAAAGCGTTTATAAACAAAAGGTAGTTTCAGAACACTGACTGATCATTATTTTATTATTAGAAGCAATAAAACAATACATCACAAGCATTACCTAACCATTTTAATGATTAGGACAAAAATGTTCTTGTCCTGTGTATATATGCTGTTTCCAAACTACCTCATGCGTTCTTGTCATGTGTATATATGCTGTTTCCAAACTACCTCAACACTTTTACTGGCACCACTTTAGGTATTCTGGCAGAGCATCTTAAAGGCCAAAAACAACTTCAGAGCCACAAGAAAAAAAAAAAAAAAGTTTGTTTAAAAATCTTTAATCCCAGCTTAAGGCTCCATTCACAAATAGCAGTAGCATTTCCTGTGCAGTTTTCCGTGAGGAAAACCACGCAGCACTAAATCCTGCAAACTTCAACATACATGTGGATTCCAAACGTTTGCGGCTATTACTATAACCAGAATCCAGTGTACCCATCGCACTCCTGACCGAATAATACCCTTAGAGTCGGGTGGGTGCCAAAGTGACTGCAGATGCCTCTGCAATCCAAGATAAGTGTATGTATAAAGTCACTCGCACGCCAATAGAATTTCAAGTCAAAAACGGTTTATTGACTCAATTGCCATCACATCGTATAGCGACGTTTAAGAACAACAGCGGTTCCTTCTTCAGGCAAACAGAATTCCGTTTGCCTGAAGAAGGAACCGCTGTTGTTCCGAAACGTCGCTATATGATGTGATGGCAATCGAGTCAATGAACCGTTTTTGACTTGAAATTCTATTGGCGTGCGAGTTACTTTATACATACACTATCACTATAACCGCAACGCGCGGAATCTACCCATAAAAATCGCATTTGCACTATTTTGCAGGACGTCCAGTTTCGTACCACGTGGACCCCACAATAGTCTGAACAATGTATTTTGCAATGCATTGTTTTTTACGTTTAGAGCGTTTCCGTGCGAAAACTCGTGTAGGGATTTGGGTAGCTGAACCCCCTTTACCACTATCACTGCATTCTTCACCTAGAGCAAGCATGCCCCTCAGCGAGCCTGTGATCCAGCCGGTTGTCAGGATTGACATTACTCCAGTTCATCAACTAAACTCTGGATGCATTTAGCTCTGCTGCTCTGACAGAAGTTAAATCCTTCTTTACTTATATAAAAAGAAAAAGGTTTGGCTGGAGCTGGGCCTTAAATCTGCTAAAATGTCAGGTGTCAAACAGAGCACAGTCTTGTGTATTGCTCCTAGGCTGTACAGTTTAAAACCAATTGGGTTTAAAGCTCTGTAAGCTTATGCAGCTAATAATATATGTGAATGTTACCCAAAACTCTATTTGTTAACCAAGTGTTTGGACTTCGTGACATTTAAAGGTTAAGGGTCTACATGTGAATGTCAAATATTTTAATTCAACTAATTACATACATAAGATTTCCATGAAATCATATTCCCACACATCCTAAATGTGTTTCAAAACAGTGATAAAACAAGTTCAAAATATGACAAAAAGCTGCAGAACAATCAGCTCGGAATAAAAAAATATAGAAATACATTTTCACATAAGAACTATATTCCATTCTTCTACATTAAAATATAGTAATGTACATTAGATGAAAGACATCAGTTGGCAGAATTTGTAAATACTCACTTTTTTTATGTCATCTAACGTGTGGATTTCTGGGGACAGTCCTCCATGGACACACAGAAACTGTTGGTTTAAAAGTGCAGCTAAAGGAAGACAATCAAATGCTTCCATACAGGCTTCATACACCCTCTCTGAATATTTTATTTTACCTATAGAGAAAATCACACATCAATACTGAAAACCTTTGTCAATTTTGAAATTAAAAGAGAAAAAGTGGTGTTTTTTTTCAGTGATCATCTATTTTAAGTCATTCTTGCAGTGCACACCTCTAGCAGCTGGTAAGATCACTCTACCAGTTTCTGAGTACTACTGGCTGGGTCAGCTCCTTGCTCACTGGGCAGAGGTTATGATGTTCATTCACTGTCAAACATGCAGGCTTAAAAGGAGAACTATGAGGTGAGTGATTTTCACTCATCCTCATAGTTTGAGCAGACCTGTGACAATGAAACTGCCGCACGTCGGCTCAATAGATCGGGACGTGAGCGAACACATACCGTCACTCGCTCACTTCTCGATCATGTCCCTGTAGAGAGCCGTGACTGTCACTCAAGGCTCCCTGCAGGGATGCCCCCATCCCGCTCCTCCATCGCTGACTGGCAGAACGGACAGGCGAGGGGGCGGGTAGAGCTGGCTCTGCCTCTAGATAGGCCGAGCCAGCTGTCATTCACGCAGCTGGGTGGATCTCGACAGTAATGTCGGGATCCGTCCTGCCTGCGGCGGTCTCAGTATACCGCGAGCTGTAGCTCGAGATATACTGAGCTTTGGGTCACGGGAGGATGCTAGTTTATGTCCTCCCGTGACCCTGAGGAGAACTATGGGGGAAAACACTTACCCCATAGTTCTCCTTTAACCACTTCAAGACCAGGTGTTTAGACCCCCTTCCTGTCCAGGCCATTTTACAGTATTCAGCGCTGCAGTACTTTGACTGACGTTTATTCCGTCATGCAACGCTGTACTGAAATGAATTTTATACCATTTTTTGGGGACAGATAGAGCTTTCTTTTGGTAGTATTTAATCACCACTAAGGGACTGTTCACATATCAGGTCCTGATCAGGTGCGGATCTGCAGACTGATGCAGTGCGTTTTTGCCGCGTTTTTGATGCGTTCAAGTAAAAAAAAATAAAAAAAATTTGCCAGCTCTATTGCCGTCGGATCGCTTGTATATTAACGGACACCGCTGCCTGTTTTTAAAAAATGGCATTTCCGTGGCTGAGCGGACGCCCGCTCAGATCTAGAGAGCTCCTGGCCGGCCGTTTTTTTACAACGGCCGGCAAGTGGTTAAGGCAAAAAGTGAAACTGCAATGTTGATCCAAGAAACAGATGTGTCAAATGACTGCCTATGTTTTGTGGCAGAAGTACCTAAATTGAGCAACCGTCTGAACAGACTGACAAGTACAGGCAAAGCAATAAACATTCATGTATTTTTACTGTATGCATATTTGTTCCATGTCAGATCATATTAAAACCTCAAAGCCAGACTGTCACTAAAATATAGGTTCATTTGCCCCTGCAAAGACGACATGGTGAGCGGATTTCCTGGTCCCCTGCTGCATGCAGTGGTTCTTCCCATCAACCCCATTATATCGAACCACTGAGCACAGTGAAGGATCAGGAATCTTATGATTGTGAAGGTGCTGGATTCTGCAGGGTCATCATCTGGCATGGCCACATAACACTGAACCTGTATTTTAATAAGAGTCACTTTAAGGTCAGAATAGCCTGTAACTGGCATTTTCAGATGGAGCTCAACAAATACAGTCTTTGCACTGCATTAATTACATGCTTTCTTTAACAAAATAAAAACTATTTACCCATTATGACATCAATGGTCTATACCAACAAGTAACGGAAAGATCACAAGCACAGTGCAATCGGTAGAAGTACAATGGGGAAGGGAATTGGATGGTTAAATATGGGGAAAAAAGAATGGTAGAGAGCAGATGCAGGGATCACAAACTGGGTGGGTAGACGATACCTACCAGCTGAAAGACAACAAAAAGAGAAACCAGAGCGCAAGCAACGTAGCGCGTTAACCGCGAGGATATAAAAATAGAGTGCTAGTGACAGTGAAATAAAATAAAGAACAACCAAGGAACCTCATTATGTGTCAAACATAAATTTATTATTAGAAGAGTAAAACTACTGCACTCATGGCATTCTTCTCGCCACCAGCATAACTGTTTGCTGAGTGTCTTTAGAGAAGCTGCACATCCGTGCTTTGCTGCTTAGGCCTCATGCACACCAAATTCAAAAAACACAAACTGAGGTGCGTTTGGAGCTCAATTTCTAATTACACTTGGACTCATGTAATGCTTTCCTATGACAATGTACACCTAGATGTCCAGCAGCGTCTTGGTGCATTCAGTCTAGAAGCATTTACCCAAACAAGGATTTTCTGCAGTCTGGGTCCGTTTAGTTCGGTTTTACGCAGCTTAACACGTGTAAACGCGTCTACACCCAGCAACAACGAAACACAGGAAAAAATTATCTGGAAGGATAAAGTTGTTAATACACACCAGATAACTTCTCTTGTGCATGAGGCCTAATGAAGAACAGTTACTTTTTCCCCTGGATTGACCATGAGATTTTAAGGCTCTACCCTCCTATACTTGTGTGTGTATATATGCTATATGATTTTAAAAATACTGATGTCCTCACTGTTAACACTCTAGGTTGCTTGTGCTTTGGTTTCTATTTCGGTTTTTTTTATGGTCTATACCAGGAGTTGGTAACCTCCGGCCCTCAAGCCATGGTGAAACTACACATCCCATCATGCATCTGTCTCTGGGAGTCATGCCTGTGGCTTTAAGAATCTTGCAATGCCTCATGGGATTTGTAGTTCCATAACAACTGGAGGGCCAGAGTTAGCCCACGCCTGGTCCATACCAAGACTGGCCATAACCTATCTGGTTCTCCTATCCCATGAAATCTAAATGGGAAAATCTGGCTACTCTCACTTCTCAGAAACTTCTGAGATACAATTAGGTCTAAAAAAACAAAACTACAATCCTGGTTGTTCTAGATATGTCAGAGTGTTTTCTTGTTAAGACATTTTCAACACATAGATCAAACCTAACCAATAAGCAATCACACAAATGATTTCACTGCATCAGAGAACCTGCCAGCAATAAGTCAATACTTTTGATTCTGGGGTAACAATTGGAATGAATAATCCATACAATTCAGATAACTCCCCACCATAGTCCTACATGTAAGAAATCAGAGGCTTAAATCTGAACTCCAGACAGATGTAAAAGAAACAATGCAGCAACAATTCAGCTTTGTATATAGTAATACATAGTTTTTTTTTTGGTTTAATGCAAGCAGTGTATGTACCTGAATTTGCAGTCCACTTTACAGCAGCGTGCTGACTGGGTGAGGTAAAAGCGGCATACAAAGCAAATTAGTTGTGCTGCAGTGCAAACAGCATTCTGATAGGAGTACAAATCAGAGTAACAAAGAAATGTGCTACTTTCCGAAGCCCAAAATCAAGGCTCCAGCACCAGAAGTTACAATACATTTTTCAGAGCAACTTGCTGTGTGTGACCGGACTTTTTTTCTGCGGGGTAAAGAGATGAGCTCTTCAGTCTGCTGCTTTTTCTTCCCCTGTACAGTCAAAGGGTCAGGAGGAAACTTGTAAGTATTACTGAAGTCGAGAAAAATCAGGTTTCCTCCTGCTAAATAGGACTGTGCTGTGTGGCAGAGCTGTGAAAATGTCAGGACTGGTAATACAAATCCTTCGGCAGGTAAAACAGCTCCTATATTAATGTCAGCTGTGTATTTCGCTTTTTTTTTGCCTGGGGTTCAGCTTTAAATGCATAAACAGCGTATGTCTACAAGATCAGTGCAGAATGAGTTTCTTTTTGACAAATTGCTACTTACATTCTTGCTTAAATGTGAAATACTCTGTAAGGTGCCTGCATTCGTGGTTTCCTCTCAAAAGAAAGAGTGTATTAGGGTAGAGAATCTTCAGAACCCATAAATATAACACACACTGTTAAAGAAAAAAAAAGAAAAGGGGAAAAAAACATAAAACTAATGCAAACACAATTCATTTTGTTAAAAGGTAAAGGGTGATCAGTGCAACCCAGATGAAATGTATACTTCCTTTATAAATGCCTGATAAGATCATCCAGCATTCAGATGTTTTCCCAGTGATCTCCAATCTATCTTTTCTGCAGATAGAAGCGCAGGACAAAGAACTGACAGAGACATCTATATCATCTGGAAGGACAGGGCTATACTGTGTATCCTACAGATAATATAGCCATAAACACAGTACAATATTTTTATTGTAAATATTAGCATATATCCAACTATAAAAACAAGGGAATGCAATTTGTAATAAACATCACCTGTACCAACCTCAATCAAAAGGAATGTGGGTGTTCATCACTTATATGAAGTGTACTGTGGATTCAAGGTGAGAATTGAAACTGTACTTGCAAGTGATGTGAGCAGTTCCACTGATGGCCTGTGTCTTACAGTCGGACCTTCACTAAACAATGGTGCCACTACATGGAATTGGTTATGTGGGCATAAGCCAAACGTACATCAGACCATCAGTACAATAATCCAGAGATGTGCAACAACAAATACCCATATAAGTAAGAGAACCAGTTGACACCGTGGTGTCCTGGGAGATGGTGGCGCCCCAACCCATTACATAGATTATCCTCTATAAATAAAATAGTAAATCATTCAAAGGATCGCCTAAGTGAACATCAACTCGAACCATTATAAATAGTACACAATAGTGTCACTCCTTCGGCGTAGAAACAACCACAACCACTAGGTTCGAGTAGATAGAGGTCACTATTTCCTTACATGTGAACCACTTCATAATCAATGTCCATATTGGATCTCCAAATATTGTGACCCCATAGCATCGGAATCAAAATCCACATGTCCCCATGCAAGTGAGGCCTCAAGCATAACAATGAAGCTGGACTTCCATAAGCACTGCGCCTTGTATATATTAATGTGTTTTATCCCACATTGGGACTTCCTCAGAAGAGTGTACAATAATTTTCGTTTATCCAAATTGATTGCGCTAGGAAAATGTGAAATAGATAGATAAATAAATGAATAAATAAAATACCAGCTGCAACAATGTGTATCAAAATGATCAAATGTAGGCTAATATGTTGCGCTTGGTGTGTGTATTCAACCTTTTTGTGTTCTCTCAAACTGTTTGAGAAAGTTAATCAACAATAGTAAACATGTAATCAAAGTGTATAGAAAACAAATCGTGTCTCTGGTGATACCAATTCAAAGTGCTTTTAGGATCTTTAAATCGTGAAGGATTTGACTGTCTCCTCGCTGACACAGTAGAAAGGCTTCACAAGGCTGAGTGTCCTTCACACTCGCATGCTGTTTTATCCAAACGGATTTCTGTAAGTGCAATCAATTTTTTAAATTCAAATAAAAGTTCTTGCTATTTGCACTTAGATTTGTCTCTCTTCTGTGGCTTCTCCCCTTCTATTTTTCTCTGGCTGGACCCTCCGTGGTTACCTCCAATTACACCTGGAGGGTGCATACCATCGGTACCGAGAGGGAGTGTAAGCTGCATGCAGGAGAGGAGAGAGAGAGGCTAAAAGAGAAGCTCAGTGGATCCATCGACGGAAGAAAAAGTAACAAACAAACATTTGTTTATTTTCAACTTACCATTTTCCTTTTTAACATTTGTTGTTCTGTCCGTAAGAACTCTATTCCTCCCAGAAGTCCATTTTTTACTGATACATTGTGGAACAGCACTATCTGTATGTGGAACAGGAATATCTGTACTTAAATAGAGTGGATAAAAAGCGTTTTTTTCACTTGCCGCCACCTCTGCTGGACTCTGCCGTTTATTCAATAATTTCCTTCGGTGACGAACTTTGTTATACTCACATCGCTTTATGTGATTTATATTGTTGCCACATATTTTTATACACAGTTGATATTTAGATCACATATGTGTGGTTTTTACACATAAATTACTACCACAAAGTAGAGATTGAATAACAAAAGACGAGGCAAGGTTTATTTATTTATTTAATTATCCAATCAGTTACTTAGTTGTTTCAATTATTCCTTCACGATTTAAAGATCCTAAAAGCACTTTGAATTGGTATCACCAGAGACACGATTTGTTTTCTATACACTTTGATTACATGTTTACTATTGTTGATTAACTTTCTCAAACATTAGCTTATGAGAGAACACAAAAAGGTTGAATACACACACCAAGTGCAACATATTAGCCTACATTTAATAATTTCGTTTGTTATGCTGTTCTGCAGGGTATAACAGTGTATCCCTGCCTTTCGGATGAAATAGATGTCAAACAGAATAGTTTATATACATCCAGACAGACATGCAAGGGGTTTATTCTTATTTTTAGGAAAATAGATTGTTTTATGTGTATTGGTTGACCTCACCTAGTCAGTTCCAGCATCCCCCATATACGTATACAATCCTAGCGTACATATATTATTCCATCAATATCCATTAGTTCAAAAGGTAATTTAACCAGATATGACAGATAGCGTGTACACCGCTGGACCTTGTGGTACTCTCGCCAGGTCAGTACAAGATGCAATAGTGATGCAAGGGCTGGCAGAAACCAAAGCGAGCAGCGTGGGCCTGTAGCTCTTGCAGAGAAAAGATTTCAATCACCATCTGCTGAAAGGCAAGTATGGAAGATCTTTTTTTAACAGGTTGCTAATTACTTGATTATATTAAAGTAGTAACACGATTGCTTTATAGAAGAACTCCAGGAAAACGTATTAAACCTTGCAGTGGGGTCACCCCTGCACTGCAAGGTTTAAGTGCTCATGTGTGTCTAGGGAGAAAAGTAACAAAGATATACTCACCCAACACTCCGCAGCAGCAGCGGCAGCATTGGAATCTTCCTCAGTGTCCTCACTGCTATACACCGAGTAGAGGAGGGGGAGAGACACTGGAAGGACTGGTCTAAGAAGAAGCCAGATTGGAGCTTTTTGCAAGTACAACTTTTTTTTTTTTTTAGCCTAGACACAAGCACCTAAAAGTTGCACTGCAGTGGTACACCCACTGCAAGGGTTAATACAATTTCCTGTAGTTCTTTTTTAAAGGGCTCGTTCCAACTTGCCCTTCCAACTAGCCCTGTTGAGCAGCTTCTTCCAACACAGTCCCAATGCAAAGATAAGGCAAACTACCTTGCTTTGGATGTGGCCTGTTCACACCAACACACTGTGAGAATGTGCTATGCGATGAAGCGAAGCATAGATTATCACAACACACTGCAACACGTTAAAAAAAAAACTTTAAAAAAAAAAGCACTACAATGCATTGCAGCACACCAGAGCTCAGAGTTATACAAATAAGTTATGCGTACCATAATGCACCCACTGGTGTAAACGGGCCCTAAAAATGGCTGCTTGTTTTTAAATGGGAATATCCACATTTACAACAACAAAAAGCAGAGACTATATAGCAGTCTGATAATCCACAATTTAATAATAATAAAAAAAGAAGAAGTTGGATAAAGCCTGGTTGCCAGTACACCATGGCTATTGAAAAAAGTTCCCTGGCAGCAAGAGCATTTCTCCCTTTAGCTCTTCCAGCTAGTAAAGGTGCCCATACACTGTACGATTATCGTACGAGAATCGCTGGAAATCCCGCGGTCGTACGGTAATCGCAAAGTGTATGGAAGGTGTGCGACCGTTTCTACTGTACGGTCGCACGTCTTCCATCGAACAAGCAGGCTGGAAAACCCGCCGGGAATCGTACGATTCTCGGCGAGTTAGTGGCTTGCTTTATCGACAACTGCCGAACGGGCCTATGTGCGCACGCGCACACTGCCCGTTTGAGGTCATCGGAAGACCGCCCCTCAGGGGGGCGGCCTTGCGATGATCTTAAGTACGATCTGCCTGTCCAAGATGGGCAGATCGTACGTTTTTTTGATTACTTTACAACCCTCGCAAGACAAAAGTCTTGCGAGGGTTGTAAAGTGTATGGCCACCTTAAGTCACCCCCTTCTCCAGCCAGGTGACTTACAACACTTTCACAAATGACAGAATAAGGTGAAAGCTGGGTCCTGAGCTCCCACTGATTATCACTATCCCCACCACTGTAAAACATGGCAGTAAACATTAGAGACTGTGGGCCCAACAGCTACACTAGAGCTTTGGATTTTCAAACAAAAAAAAGATAATAATAATTATATTGCCCACTTCACCTGCTTTAGGGGGTGACTGAAAACAGGAGTAAATTTTACACCTGGCACTCACTCACAAAGATGGATGGATGTTTCATGTCACTATGGGCATACCAAGAGAAAAAAGAAATCTTTAGTAAACTGCCACTGTTGAGTCTGTGCCCACCAACTTCTTAAGGCCTCATGCACACTATGGATGTATTTTGGCATAGGTAACCTTAGCATGGTCCAGCATCTGTTTTCCCTTGATATACTGGCATTTTCTTGTGCGGTTTTGTACCTGCATTTGAATGCTTCTATGTTCATCCAGGGGGGTGGAAATTTTGGAAAAAACTACTAAAGCGGGGGCCGAATCTACTTGTCCCTCATGACAAACTACTTGTCCTGATACAAAAAAATTATTTTAACCAAAACTGTATTTAGCAGTACTAAGAAGCGCTTCTTCTCATTGGTCAATGCCGTCAGGTGGCCGCGTTGACCAATGAGTGCTTGCAATTTGCGAGCGAAATTCAGAATACATGGAACAGGTACAGATAGTACACCCGTACTGGTGGACGGGAAGGACCGTTCGCCAAAGGGTAAGTATAGCGGGAGAGAGATTTGTGCAGGTAATTCCATTTTCCCAAATAACTTGGGAAAGTGAATTTACTCTTTAGGGTTGGTGCAGACTTGGGGATTCCCAGGACGTGTGATCGTGTGCGGTGGCATACAGCGGTTGCATCTGCATGTATGGGGTTACATCTGTGTGGCAATCGCTGAAAAAAAGGTACATGTACCTATTTTCACGACATGCACCGCGCAGTGTTTTTAACCGTGATCGCGTGGGATCGCCCGGGCGTTATTGCAGCAGGAAAATGCGCAATGTGCCTGGCACGACTGGGGTGCCATTAGAAAATAATGGCACTGCCAGCGAAAACGGCGGTGATGTGTGATTCCGTGACCAGCCAGCCATCCGCTCGGTTTCGTGCATGATGACCGGGCAGTCACAGATCGCACACCACCGATCGCGCTGGCAGTGCCATCATATTATATTGGCACCCCAGTCGTGCCAGGCACATTGCAGGGTTTTCCGAGCGGTAGCACACGATCGCAGTTGAAAACACTGCGGGTTTATTCACATGCAGATGGGGGCAGCGGGGCGGGGTTTCATTTTTT